AGTGCTGGTAAGGAGTGGTGTTTGCTGTCAGTTTAGAAGAACAGCACTCCCTTCTAGTGCTGATGAGGTTACCTAGTTGGGTCATGAAACGTTTGCAAGAAAACAATCAAGCTCAGAGAGTTCCAAGGACCCAACAGCCCTCTTCCTCCTCCTCCTCCTCCTCCTCCCTGCAAACCCCACTCTCTCCCAGCACTGCTGATGTTACCTAGTTGGGTAATGAAACGTCTCCAAGAAAACAACCATAGCTCAGAGTACCAAGAACCCCACAGTCCTCCTCCTCCTCCTCCTCCTCCTCCCTGCAAAGCCCACTCTCTTCCAGCACTGATGATGTTACCTAGTTGGGTTATGAAATGTCTGCAAGAAAACCACCAAGCTCAAAGAGTACCAAGTCCTTCTACTCCTCCCCCTCCTCTCCACACACCCCACTTCCTCCCAGCACTGATGGTGTTACCTAGTTTGGGTCACGAAACCTCTTCAAGAAAACAAGCCATCTCAGGAGAGCAGCAAGGACCCCCTCATTTCAATCCTGAGCTACAAATATTCTCCTTTGTAAAGAATGTTCTGACCACTGCACACGTCTCTCTCTCTCTCTCTCTCTCTCTCTCTCTCTCTCTCCTCTTTCCATATGAGAATCTAAGAGCTTTGGAAGTTTTTACGTGAGGATCTCATGTTCCCTCTTTTGTTCCCAGCAGAGGATGGAAGGAAATGCGCAATTAAAGCAGAATTAATACATTTGGAAGCCTTCCTGAAATCTAATGCTTGCAGCAATCATTGCCTCTTGACCACTCAAATTCCTTTTATCTTCTAATGCTTCACTGCCGCCTTCTACCCATCCAGCTGGATACCTTCCAAACACGTTCGGCTTCCATATGTTTCGGGGGAGCTTCCTTCTAGCACAGGGGTCTCCAACCTTGGCAACTTTAAGGTTCGTGGACTTCAATTCCCAGAGTTCCTCAGCCAACTTTAAGGTTCATGGACTTCAGTTCCCAGAGTTCCTCAGCCAACTTCGCTGTGGACTTCAATTTCCCAAAGTTCCTCAGCCAACTTTAAGGTTCGTGGACTTCAGCTCCCAGAGTTCCTCAGCCATCTTTGCTGTGGACTTCAATTTCCCAGAGTTCCTCAGCCAACTTTAAGGCTCGTGGACTTCAATTCCCAGAGTTCATCAGCCAGCTTCGCTGTGGATTTCAATTTCCCAGA